AAAATGGGTCTGGGTGGGGGTGGGGTCACGCTGGGGGTGACCGGGACAGGGAGGTGGCACTGTGGGGGTGACAGGGACAGGGAGGTGGCACTGTGGGGGTGACAGGGACAGGGAGGTGGCACTGTGGGGGTGACAGGGACAGGGAGGTGGCACTGTGGGGGTGACAGGGACAGGGAGGTGGCACTGTGGGGGTGACAGGGACAGGGAGGTGGCACTGTGGGGGTGACAGGGACAGGGAGGTGGCACTGTGGGGGTGACAGGGACAGGGAGGTGGCACTGTGGGGGTGACAGGGACAGGGAGGTGGCACTGTGGGGGTGACAGGGACAGGGAGGTGGCACTGTGGGGGTGACAGGGACAGGGAGGTGGCACTGTGGGGGTGACAGGGACAGGGAGGTGGCACTGTGGGGGTGACAGGGACAGGGAGGTGGCACTGTGGGGGTGACAGGGACAGGGAGGTGGCACTGTGGGGGTGACAGGGACAGGGAGGTGGCACTGTGGGGGTGACAGGGACAGGGAGGTGGCACTGTGGGGGTGACAGGGACAGGGAGGTGGCACTGTGGGGGTGACAGGGACAGGGAGGTGGCACTGTGGGGGTGACAGGGACAGGGAGGTGGCACTGTGGGGGTGACAGGGACAGGGAGGTGGCACTGTGGGGGTGACAGGGACAGGGAGGTGGCACTGTGGGGGTGACAGGGACAGGGAGGTGGCACTGTGGGGGTGACAGGGACAGGGAGGTGGCACTGTGGGGGTGACAGGGACAGGGAGGTGGCACTGTGGGGGTGACAGGGACAGGGAGGTGGCACTGTGGGGGTGACAGGGACAGGGAGGTGGCACTGTGGGGGTGACAGGGACAGGGAGGTGGCACTGTGGGGGTGACAGGGACAGGGAGGTGGCACTGTGGGGGTGACAGGGACAGGGAGGTGGCACTGTGGGGGTGACAGGGACGTGGAGGTGGCACTGCGGAGGTGACAAGAGCATGGAGGTGACACTCTGGAGGTGACAAGAGCATGGATGTGACACTGTGGAGGTGACAGGGACAGGGAGGTGTCACTGTGGAGGTGACAGGGATGTGGAGATGTCACTCCGGAGGTGACAGGGACGTGGAGATATTGATGTGGAGGTGACATGGAGACAGAGATGTCACTGTGGAGGTGACAGGGACAGGGAGGTGTCACTGTGGAGGTGACAGGGACAGGGAGGTGTCACTGTGGAGGTGACAGGGACAGGGAGGTGTCACTGTGGAGGTGACAGGGACAGGGAGGTGTCACTGTGGAGGTGACAGGGACAGGGAGGTGTCACTGTGGAGGTGACAGGGACAGGGAGGTGTCACTGTGGAGGTGACAGGGACAGGGAGGTGTCACTGTGGAGGTGACAGGGACAGGGAGGTGTCACTGTGGAGGTGACAGGGACAGGGAGGTGTCACTGTGGAGGTGACAGGGACAGGGAGGTGTCACTGTGGAGGTGACAGGGACAGGGAGGTGTCACTGTGGAGGTGACAGGGACAGGGAGGTGTCACTGTGGAGGTGACAGGGACAGGGAGGTGTCACTGTGGAGGTGACAGGGACAGGGAGGTGTCACTGTGGAGGTGACAGGGACAGGGAGGTGTCACTGTGGAGGTGACAGGGACAGGGAGGTGTCACTGTGGAGGTGACAGGGACAGGGAGGTGTCACTGTGGAGGTGACAGGGACAGGGAGGTGTCACTGTGGAGGTGACAGGGACAGGGAGGTGTCACTGTGGAGGTGACAGGGACAGGGAGGTGTCACTGTGGAGGTGACAGGGACAGGGAGGTGTCACTGTGGAGGTGACAGGGACAGGGAGGTGTCACTGTGGAGGTGACAGGGACAGGGAGGTGTCACTGTGGAGGTGACAGGGACAGGGAGGTGTCACTGTGGAGGTGACAGGGACAGGGAGGTGTCACTGTGGAGGTGACAGGGACAGGGAGGTGTCACTGTGGAGGTGACAGGGACAGGGAGGTGTCACTGTGGAGGTGACAGGGACAGGGAGGTGTCACTGTGGAGGTGACAGGGACAGGGAGGTGTCACTGTGGAGGTGACAGGGACAGGGAGGTGTCACTGTGGAGGTGACAGGGACAGGGAGGTGTCACTGTGGAGGTGACAGGGACAGGGAGGTGTCACTGTGGAGGTGACAGGGACAGGGAGGTGTCACTGTGGAGGTGACAGGGACAGGGAGGTGTCACTGTGGAGGTGACAGGGACAGGGAGGTGTCACTGTGGAGGTGACAGGGACAGGGAGGTGTCACTGTGGAGGTGACAGGGACAGGGAGGTGTCACTGTGGAGGTGACAGGGACAGGGAGGTGTCACTGTGGAGGTGACAGGGACAGGGAGGTGTCACTGTGGAGGTGACAGGGACAGGGAGGTGTCACTGTGGAGGTGACAGGGACAGGGAGGTGTCACTGTGGAGGTGACAGGGACAGGGAGGTGTCACTGTGGAGGTGACAGGGACAGGGAGGTGTCACTGTGGAGGTGACAGGGACAGGGAGGTGTCACTGTGGAGGTGACAGGGACAGGGAGGTGTCACTGTGGAGGTGACAGGGACAGGGAGGTGTCACTGTGGAGGTGACAGGGACAGGGAGGTGTCACTGTGGAGGTGACAGGGACAGGGAGGTGTCACTGTGGAGGTGACAGGGACAGGGAGGTGTCACTGTGGAGGTGACAGGGACAGGGAGGTGTCACTGTGGAGGTGACAGGGACAGGGAGGTGTCACTGTGGAGGTGACAGGGACAGGGAGGTGTCACTGTGGAGGTGACAGGGACAGGGAGGTGTCACTGTGGAGGTGACAGGGACAGGGAGGTGTCACTGTGGAGGTGACAGGGATGTGGAGATGTCACTCCGGAGGTGACAGGGACGTGGAGATATTGATGTGGAGGTGACATGGAGACAGAGATGTCACTGTGGAGGTGACAGGGACACGGAGGGGTCAATGTGGAGGTGACAGGAACACGGACAGTTTGAGTGGAGGTGTTGGGGACATCAGAGATGGCTCTGGAGGTGACAGGGATACGGAGTTGTCCTTAAAGAGGTGTTGGGGACATGGAGATGTCACTCTGGAGGTGACAGGGACACGGACAGTTCGATGTGGAGGTGTTGGGGACATGGAGACGGCTCTGGAGGTGACAGGGACACGGGCATTGTTCTGGGCGTGGTGGGGACATCCTTTGTCACGTTCCTTTTTCCCACTTTTCTCTCCTTGTCTTCCTTTCCTCCATTTCCCCCCTTTTTTCTCCCTTATCCCTCTTTTCCCTCTTCCCCCCTTTTTCCCCTTTTCCCCTTGCCCCTTTTCCCTTTCCCCTTGCCCCTTTTCCCCTTCACTTGTCCCCTTTTTCCTCTCTCCTTTTCCTTTTCTATTTTCTCCTTTCCCTTTTCCCTGTTTCCCTCCCACTTTTCTCTCCTTGTCTTCCTTTCCTCCATTTCCCCCCTTTTTTCTCCCTTATCCCTCTTTTCCCTCTTCCCCCCTTTTTCCCCTTTTCCCCCTTTTTCCCTTTTTCCCCTTGCCCCCTTTCCCTTTCCCCTTGCCCCTTTTCCCCTTCACTTGTCCCCTTTTTCCTCTCTCCTTTTCCTTTTCTATTTTCTCCTTTCCCTTTTCCCTGTTTCCCTTCCCCCTTTTCCCCTTCCCCTTTTCCCATTTTCCCCGTTTCCCTTTTTCCCCATTTCACTTTCCCCCTTTTCCATTTCCCCCTTCCCCCTTTCCCGCCTTCCCCGTTTCCCTTTTCCCCCTTTCCCCTGTCCCCCTTTTCCCTTTCCCTTTTTCCCCGTTTCCCTTTTCCCCCTTTTCACTTTTCCCCCATTTCACTTTTCCCCTTTTCCCCTTCACTTCTGCCCTTTTTCCCTTTCCCAATTTCTCTTTTCCCCTTTTCCTCTTTCCTGTTTTTTCCCCTTTTCCCCTTTTTCCCATTTTCCCTTCCACCTTCCCCCCTTTTTCCCCTTTCCCCATTTCCCTCATTTCCCCTTTTCCTTTTCCCCATTTCCCTTTTCCTTTTTCCCCTTTTCCTTTCCCATTCCCCTTTCCCTTTCCCTTTCCCCATTTCCCTTTCCCTTTCCCTTTCCCTTTGCCATTCCCTCCATTTCCCTTTTCCTATTTACCTTTTCCCCTTTTCCCTTTCCCCGTTTCCCTTTCCCCCTTTTCCCTCTTTTCCCTCTTTCCCCCCTTTCCTCATTTCCATTTTCCCTTTCCCTTTCCCTTTCCCTGTCCTTTTCCCCATTTCCCTTTTCTGATTTACCTTTTCCCCTTTTCCCTTGCCCCGTTTCCCTTTCCCCCTTTTCCCTCTTTTCCCTCTTGCCCCCCTTTCCTCATTTCCATTTTCCCTTTCCCTTTCCCTGTCCTTTTCCCCATTTCCCTTTTCTGATTTACCTTTTCCCCTTTTCCCTTGCCCCGTTTCCCTTTCCCCCTTTTCCCTCTTTTCCCTCTTGCCCCCCTTTCCTCATTTCCATTTTCCCTTTCCCTTTCCCTGTCCTTTTCCCCATTTCCCTTTTCTGATTTACCTTTTCCCCTTTTCCCTTGCCCCGTTTCCCTTTCCCCCTTTTCCCTCTTTTCCCTCTTGCCCCCCTTTCCTCATTTCCATTTTCCCTTTCCCTTTCCCTGTCCTTTTCCCCATTTCCCTTTTCTGATTTACCTTTTCCCCTTTTCCCTTGCCCCGTTTCCCTTTCCCCCTTTTCCCTCTTTTCCCTCTTGCCCCCCTTTCCTCATTTCCATTTTCCCTTTCCCTTTCCCTGTCCTTTTCCCCATTTCCCTTTTCTGATTTACCTTTTCCCCTTTTCCCTTTTCCCGTTTCCCTTTCCCCCTTTTCCCCCTTTTCCCCCTTTCCTCATTTCCCTTTTCCCTTTCCCCTTTTCACCTTTCCCTGTTTTTTCCCCATTTCCCCTTTCCCTTTCCCTTTCCCTTTCCCATTTCTCCCTTTCCCCATTTCCCTTTTCCCCTTTCCCGTTTTCCCCCTTTCCCGTTTTTTTCCCTCCCGGCCGCGCCCGCGGGCCGTTCCCGCAGGGAAGGGATGCTCCTCTCCTAACGCCCCGGGCGTCCCGAGGATGAGCGCCGTTCCCGAGCCCCTGGCCCGGCCCCGCAGCAGCTCCTCCCGCAGCCTCTCCGGGACCCTGGAGGCCATGGGGACCCCGGAGGCGGATCGGGACCAGCGGGATTGGGATCACCGGGAGGACTGGGATCCGGACGAGACGCAGATCCTCAAGGTTTGCTTCTACAGCAACAGCTTCAACCTGGGCCAGAACTTCAAGCTGGTCAAGTGCTCCATGGCCACGGAGATACGGGTAGGTGGGAAGGGGATTGGGAATTCGGGGCTGGGATTGGGAATTCAGGGCTGGGATTGGAAATTCGGGGCTGGGATTGGGAATTTGGGGCTGGGATTGGGAATTCTGGGCCGGGATTGGGAATTCGGGGCTGGGATTGGGAATTTGGGGCTGGGATTGGGAATCTAGAGGTGAGATTGGGAATCCGGGGCTGGGATTGTCAATTCGGGCCTGGGATTGGGAATTCGCGGCCAGGATTGGGAATTCTGGGCCGGGATTGGAAATTCAGGGCTGGGATTGGGAATTCGGGGCTGGGATTGGGAATTCAGGGCTGGGATTGGAATTTGGGGCTGGAAATGAGAATGTGGAGCTGGGAACGGGAATTTGGGGTTGGGATTGGGAATTTGGGGTTGGAAATGGGAATTCTGGGCTGGGATTGGGAATTCGGGGCTGGGATTGGGAATTTGTGGCTGGGATTGGAAATTCAGAGCTGGGATTGGAAATTCAGGGCTGGGATTGGGAATTTGGGGCTGGGATTGAGAATTTGGAGCTGGGAATGGGAATTCTCGGTTGGATTTCTTGGATCTGTCTGCTTCCAGCTGCATTTCCCATGTGTTTGAGGAGCACCCAAGGATCCAGGGAATCCTTGGAGCTGCTTCTCGATCCCAAAGGGGCTCCAGGAGAGCTGGGATTGGGGCAAGGGCTGGAGGGCCAGGAGGCAGGGAATGGCTTCCAGTGGGAAAGGGGAGCTTGGGATGGTGGGATCTTGGGAAGGAATTCCCGGCTGGGCTGGAATTCCCAGAGAATCCCTGGGAGCATTCAAGGAAGGCTTGGATCACCCCAGGATTGTGGGATTGAAGGTCTGTGGATCCCATCCCACCCATTACAGGATTCTGGGATCAAGGACACTCAGGGTCCATCCCGAGGCATTTTTATGGAATTCAGAGATGGAAAAGGGAAGGGAGACCCTTCCTGGACTCCCAAATTCCCAGGGAAGCCCCTGGATCCCAAAATTCCTTCTCAAGGAGGAATCGGGATGGGGATGGATCCAGTGCCAGGCTGGGAGAGCTGGGAATGTTCACTGGGATCAGGGAAGGATCCAGGGAATGCTTGGAGCCTTTTCCAGAGGCTCCAGGAGAGCTGGGATTTGGGCAAGGGCTGGAGGGCCAGGAGGCAGGGAATGGCTTCCAGTGGGAAAGGGGAGCTTGGGATGGTGGGATCTTGGGAAGGAATTCCCGGCTGGGCTGGAATTCCCAGAGAATCCCTGGCAGCATCCAAGCACGGCTTGGATCACGGATACGATTTAATCCCCTTCCCCACCCTCACCGTTCCGCGATCCCGCGCAATCCCCGCGCTCGCCGGATCCCGGTTTTTCCCCTTTTTCCCAGGAGGTGATCCGCTCCATCCTGGTGAGCGGGCGGATCGGGCCGGACATCCGGCTGTCCCAGTGCTACGGGCTGCGCCTCAAGCACGTCAAATCCAACGAGATCCACTGGCTCCACCCGCACCTGACCGTGGGAGAGGTGCACAAGAAGTACGAGCGCCTCCACCTGCAAGCCGAGTGGAGGTGGGACATCGTCCCCTTCTCCGTGTCCCCTCGGAATTCCCGGGAGTGGGAATGGCGGCCTCACGGATCAGCATCTGCCATGCTGATCCCATTTCCTGATGCTTGTGCTCAAAATGGAAACTTCCGAGAGTTGGTTGATTATTGGTTACGTATCGATGGAAAATGGCATTTTGACAGAAGATTAATTTTGGCTTTTTGGCTATAAGGGCGTGTTTATGGTAATGAGGTTAATTGCCTTAAAAATTTTTTAAAAATGGGGCAGAAGAGATAATTTCCAGATACTTCTCTTCAAAATGGAAACTTCAGAGAGCTGGTTGATTATTGGTTATGTATCAATGGAAAATGGCATTTTGACAGAAGATGCATTTGGCTTTTTGGCTATAAGGGTGTGTTTATGGTAATGAGGTTAATTGCCTTAAAAAAATTTAAAAAAATGGGGCAGTAGAGATAATTTCTAGATACTTGTCTTCAAAATGGAAACTTCAAAGAGTTGATCAATTATTGGTTACGTATCAATGGAAAATGGCATTTTGACAGAAGATGCATTTGGCTTTTTGGCTATAACGGCGTGTTTATGGTAATGAGGCTAATTGCCTTAAAAACCTGGAAAACAATTGGGCGGTAGAGATAATTTCCAGATATTTGTCTTCACAATGAAAACTTTATAGACTTGGTCGATTATTGGTTACATATCAATGGAAAATGGCATTTTGACAGAAGATTAATTTTGGCTTTTTGGCTATAAGGGCGTGTTTATGGTAATGAGGTTAATTGCCTTAAAAATTTTTTAAAAATGGGGCAGAAGAGATAATTTCCAGATACTTCTCTTCAAAATGGAAACTTCAGAGAGCTGGTTGATTATTGGTTATGTATCAATGGAAAATGGCATTTTAACAGAAGATGATTTTGGCTTATTTGGCTACGAGGGCATGTTTATGGTAATGAGGTTAATTGCCTTAAAAATTGGAAAACGATGGGGCAGTAGAAATCGTTTCCAGATACTTGTCTTCAAAATGAAAACTTCAGAGGGTTGGTCGATTATTGGTTATGTATTAATGGAAAATGGCATTTTGACAGGAGATTAATTTGGCTTTATGGCTATGAGGGCGTGTTTATGGTAATGAGGCTAATTGCCTTAAAAAAAATGTAAAAAATGGGGCAGTAGAGATAATTTCCAGATACTTGTCAAATTTTTAAGGCAATTAATCTTATTACCATAAACACGCCCTTATAGACAATTGAGATAATTTCCAGATACTTGTCTTCTAAATGAAAGCTTCAGAGAGTTGGTTGATTATTGATTACGTATCAATGGAAAATGGCATTTTGACTAAAGATGCATTTGGCATTTTGATTAGAAGGGCGTGTTGATAGTAATGAGGTTAATTGCCTTAAAAATTTGAGGCAATTAGCCTCATTACCATAAACATGCCCTCATAGCCAAAAAGCCAAATGCATCTTTGGTCAAAATGCCATTTTCCATTGATACGTACCCAATAATCAACCAACTCTCTGAAGTTTCCATTTTGAAGACAAGTATCTGGAAATTATCTCAATTGTCTATAAGGGCGTGTTTATAGTAATAAGATTAATTGCCTTAAAAATTTGAGGCAATTAGCCTCATTACCATAAACATGCCCTCATAGCCAAAAAGCCAAATGCATCTTTGGTCAAAATGCCATTTTCCATTGATACGTACCCAATAATCAACCAACTCTCTGAAGTTTCCATTTTGAAGACAAGTATCTGGAAATTATCTCAATTGTCTATAAGGGCGTGTTTATAGTAATAAGATTAATTGCCTTAAAAATTTGAGGCAATTAGCCTCATTACCATAAACATGCCCTCATAGCCAAAAAGCCAAATGCATCTTTGGTCAAAATGCCATTTTCCATTGATACGTACCCAATAATCAACCAACTCTCTGAAGTTTCCATTTTGAAGACAAGTATCTGGAAATTATCTCAATTGTCTATAAGGGCGTGTTTATAGTAATAAGATTAATTGCCTTAAAAATTTGAGGCAATTAGCCTCATTACCATAAACATGCCCTCATAGCCAAAAAGCCAAATGCATCTTTGGTCAAAATGCCATTTTCCATTGATACGTACCCAATAATCAACCAACTCTCTGAAGTTTCCATTTTGAAGACAAGTATCTGGAAATTATCTCAATTGTCTATAAGGGCGTGTTTATAGTAATAAGATTAATTGCCTTAAAAATTTGAGGCAATTAGCCTCATTACCATAAACATGCCCTCATAGCCAAAAAGCCAAATGCATCTTTGGTCAAAATGCCATTTTCCATTGATACGTACCCAATAATCAACCAACTCTCTGAAGTTTCCATTTTGAAGACAAGTATCTGGAAATTATCTCAATTGTCTATAAGGGCGTGTTTATAGTAATAAGATTAATTGCCTTAAAAATTTGAGGCAATTAGCCTCATTACCATAAACATGCCCTCATAGCCAAAAAGCCAAATGCATCTTTGGTCAAAATGCCATTTTCCATTGATACGTACCCAATAATCAACCAACTCTCTGAAGTTTCCATTTTGAAGACAAGTATCTGGAAATTATCTCAATTGTCTATAAGGGCGTGTTTATAGTAATAAGATTAATTGCCTTAAAAATTTGAGGCAATTAGCCTCATTACCATAAACACGCCCTTATAGACAATTGAGATAATTTCCAGATACTTGTCTTCAAAATGGAAACTTCAGAGAGTTGGTTGATTATTGGTTACTTATCAATGGAAAATGGCATTTTGACCAAAGATGCATTTGGCATTTTGATTAGAAGGGCGTGTTTATGGTAATGAGGTTAATTGTCTTAAAAAATTTGAGGCAATTAACCTCATTACCATAAACACGCCCTTATAGACAATTGAGATAATTTCCAGATACTTGTCTTCAAAATGAAAAGTTCAGAGAGCTGGTCGATTATTGGTTACGTATCAATGGAAAATGGCATTTTGACAGAAGATGCATTTGGCTTATTTGGCTATAAGGAAATTATCTCCACTGTCTATATGGGTGTGTTTATGGTAATAAGGTCAATTGTCTTAAAAATTTGGAAAAAAGTGGGAAAGTAGAGATAATTTCCAGATACTTGTCTTCAAAATGGAAACTTCAGAGAGTTGGTTTATTATTGATTACGTATCAATGGAAAATGGCATTTTGACAGAAGATGCATTTGGCTTTTTGGCTATAGGAGTGTATTTACAGTAGTGAGGTCAATTGCCTTAAAAATTGGGATTGTGGAGATAATTTTCCGATACTTGTCTTAAAAATGGAAACTTCAGAGAGTTGGTTGATTATTGGTTACTTATCAATGGAAAATGGCATTTTGACCAAAGATGCATTTGGCATTTTGATTAGAAGGGCGTGTTGATAGTAATGAGGTTAATTGCCTTAAAAATTTTTTAAAAATGCGGCAGAAGAGATAATTTCTAGATACATGTCTTCAAAATGGAAACTTCAGAGAGCTGGTTGATTATTGGTTATGTATTAATGGAAAATGGCATTTTGACAGGAGATGATTTTGGCTTATTTGGCTACGAGGGCGTGTTTATGGTAATGAGGCTAATTGCCTTAAAAAATTTTTTAAAAATGGGGCAGTAGAGCTAATTTCCAGATACTTGTCTTCAAAATGGAAAATTCAGAGAGTTGGTTGATTATTGGGTACGTATCAATGGAAAATGGCATTTTGACAGAAGATGCATTTGGCTTTTTGGCTATGAGGGCATGTTTATGGTAATGAGGCTAATTGCCTTAAAAATTTGAGGCAATTAACCTCATTACCATAAACATATCCTTATAGACAGTAGAGATAATTTCTAGATACATGTCTTCAAAATGGAAACTTCAGAGGGTTGGTCAATTATTGGTTATGTATTAATGGAAAATGGCATTTTGACAGAAGATGATTTTGGCTTATTTGGATACGAGGGCGTGTTTATGTTAATGAGGTTAATTGCCTTAAAAATCTGGCAAACCCGTGGCTGTTCGCTGGGTGTCTCCAGGTACGACCTGCAGATCCGCTACCTGCCGGAGGATTTCATGGAGAGTTTCCAGGAGGACAGGACCACGCTGCTCTACTTCTACCAGCAGGTCTGGACCCCCCAAATTCCCGGAATTCCCGGAATTCCCAAGGTTCCAAGGATTTGTCACCTTGGGGTGGCGGTGGTGGCGCCATCCCGCTGCTGGGAATGGGCAGTGGGGACATGCAGGGACATCCAAGGACATTTGGGGATGTCCAGGGATATCCAGGGACATCCAGGGATGCCCAGGGACATCCAGGGACATCCAGGGATGGGGGGCAGGTTGGGCAGTGCCACCATCCCCTGTGACCGTCCCTGTCACTGTCCCCTGCCACTGTGCCCTGTCACCATTCCCTGTCACCATCCCCTGCTGCCCCCTGCTGTCTCTGGTGTCCCCGTGGTGACACCCTGCCCCCGCTGTCCCCGGGTGTCCCTGCTGTCCCCGGTGTCCCCGCGGTGACGCGCTGTCCCCGGGTGTCCCCATTGTCCCCTGCGCTGTCCCTGGGTGTTGTGGGTGTCCCTGCTGTCCCCAGGTGTCCTCATTGTCCCCCCGCTGTTCCAGCGGTGACACGCTGTCCTTGGATGTCCCCTGCTGTCCCCAGTGTCCCCACCATGTCCCCGCTGTCCCCGGGTGTCCCTGCTGTCCCCACTGTTCCCGCGGTGACTCCCTGTCCCTGGGTGTCCCCATTGTCCCCGCTGTCCCCGCAGTGACATGCTGTCCCTGGGTGTCCCTGGGTGTCCCCACTGTCCCTGTTGTCCCCCGTTGTCCCTGTTGTCCCCGTGGTGACGCGCTGTTCCTGGGTGTCCCCATTGTCCCCGCTGTCCCCGGGTGTCCCCGCTGTCCCTGCGGTGACGCACTGTCCCTGGCTGTCCTCGGGTGTCCCCGCTGTCCCCATTGTCGCCCATGGTGTCCCCACGGTGATGCACTGTCCCTGGGTGTCCCCCGGTGTCCCCGCTGTCCCTGCTGTCCCCACGGTGACACACTGTCCCTGGGTGTCCTGGGTGTCCCCACTGTCCCCGCGGTGATGCGCTGTCCCTGGGTGTCCCCGCTGTCCCCCACTGTCCCCGCGGTGACGCGCTGTCCCTGGGTGTCCTGGGTGTCCCCACTGTCCCTGTGGTGATGCGCTGTCCCTGGGTGTCCCTGGGTGTCCCTGGGTGTCCCCGCTGTCCCCGCTGTCCCCACGGTGACACACTGTCCCTGGGTGTCCCCGCTGTCCCCGCTGTCCCCACGGTGACACACTGTCCCTGGGTGTCCTGGGTGTCCCCACTGTCCCCGTGGTGACGCGCCGTCCCTGGGTGTCCCTGGGTGTCCCCGCTGTCCCCGCTGTCCCCATGGTGTCCCCGCGGTGACGCGCTGTCCCCCAGCTCCGCAGCGAGTACATGCAGAGCTACGCCAGCAAGGTCAGCGAGGGCATGGCGCTGCAGCTGGGCTGCCTCGAGCTCAGGTACGGCTGTCCCCTGTGTCCCCTCCTGTCCCCTGTGTCCCCTGCTGTCCCCTACTGTCCCCTGGTGTCCCCTGGCCCTTGTGTCTTTGTGTCATTTTGTCCCTGTGTCCCTTGTGTCCGTGGCGCTGCAACTGGGCTGCCTCGAGCGCAGGTACGGCTGTCCCCTGTGTCCCCTGGTGTCCCGGTGTCCCCTGGCCCTTGTGTCTTTGTGTCATTTTGTCCCTGTGTCCCTTGTGTCCGTGGCGCTGCAACTGGGCTGCCTCGAGCGCAGGTACGGCTGTCCCCTGTGTCCCCTGGTGTCCCCTTTGTCCCCATGTGTCCCTTTGTCCCCATGCGTCCCACTGTCCCTGTGTCTTTGTGTCCTCTGTGTCCCCTGTCCCTGTGTCCCTTGTCCCCAAGTCTCCTTGTGAACATGTGTCCTTCTGTCCCTGTGTCCCCTGTCCCTGTGTCCCTTGTCCCCTTGTTCCTCATGTCCCCCTGTTCCCCATGTCCCCACGTCTCCCTGAGAACCTGTGTCCTTCTGTCCTTCTGTCCCTGCTGTCCCCTACTGTCCCCTGGTGTCCCGGTGTCCCCTGCCCCTTGTGTCTTTGTGTCATTTTGTCCCCGTGTCCCTTGTGTCCGTGGCGCTGCAGCTGGGCTGCCTCGAGCGCAGGTATGGCTGTCCCCTGGTGTCCCCTTTGTCCCCATGTGTCCCTTTGTCCCCATGCGTCCCACTGTCCCTGTGTCTTTGTGTCCTCTGTGTCCCCTGTCCCTGTGTCCCTTGTCCCCAAGTCTCCTTGTGAACATGTGTCCTTCTGTCCCTGTGTCCCCTGTCCCTGTGTCCCTTGTCCCCTTGTTCCTCATGTCCCCCTGTTCCCCATGTCCCCACGTCTCCCTGAGAACCTGTGTCCTTCTGTCCTTGTGTCCCTGTGTCTTCTGTCCCTGTGTCCCTTGTCCCCTTGTTCCTCATGTCCCCCTGTTCCCCATGTCCCCATGTCTCCCCGTAAACCTGTGTCCTTCTGTCCTTGTGTCCCTGTGTCCATGTGTCCCTGTGTCCCCTGTCCCCATGTCTCCCCGTAAACCTGTGTCCTTCTGTCCTTGTGGGAATGGGGAGGGAAGTTCCAGATCTTTTGGAGGTGGCAGGAGGACCTGGGGGACATGGGGGACATGGAGGGACTTGGGGAACATGGAGGGACATGGAGGGGCATGGGGACACGGAGGGACATGGGGGATGTGAGGACATGGAAGGACATGGGGACATGGAGGGATATGGGGACATGGGGGACAGGGGGACATGGAGGGATGTGGAGGGACATGGAGGGATATGGAGGGGCATGGGGACATGGAGGGACATGGGGACATGGGGTCATGGGGCTCATGGGGACATGGGGGACATGGAGGGACTTGGAGGGGCATTGGGACGTGGGGGATGTGGGGACATGGGGACATGGAGGGGCATGGTGGGACATGGAGGGACACGGGGACATGGAGGGATGGGGAATATGGAGACAAGGGGGACATGGAGGGATATGGGGGACGTGGAGGGACATGGGGACATGAGGAACATGGAGAGACATGGGGGATGTGAGGACATGGAAGGACATGGGGACATGGAGGGATATGGGGACATGGGGGACAGGGGGACATGGAGGGATGTGGAGGGACATGGGGGACATGGAGGGGCACAGGGCCATGGTGACATGGAGGGACATGGGGGACATGGAGGGGCACAGGGCCACGGTGACATGGAGGGACATGGGGACATAGGGGACATGGGGACATGGAGGGATGAGGGATATGTGGGATGTGGGGACATGGGGACATGAGGGACGCGGGGCCATGGTGCCGTGGTGGCGTGTGACAAGCTGGTGTCCCTGTCCCTGTCCCGCAGGAGGTTCTACAAGGACATGCCCCAGAACGCGCTGGACAAGAAATCCAACTTCGAGTTGCTGGAGTGAGTGCAGCCCCGGGGGCTGGGGGCATGCTGAGGGCCTTCCTCATCCTCATCATCATCCTCATCCTCCTCATCTTCATAATCTTCATCATCCTCCTCATTTCATCATCCTCCTGCAGCTCTTCATCCTCCTCATCTTCATCATCCTCCTTATCTTCCTCATCCTCCTGCAGCTCCTCATCCTCCTCACCTTCCTCATCCTCCTTATCTTCATCATCCTTCTACAACTCCTCATCTTCCTCATCCTCCTCATCTTCATCCTCCTCATCTTCCTCATCCTCCTGCAGCTCCTCATCCTCCCATGGCTCTTCATCCTCTTCATCTTCCCACATCTCCATGTTCTCCCATATCTCCTCATCCTCCTGTAGCTCCTCATCCTCCCTCATCTTCCTCCTCATCATCCTCATCCTCCCTCATCTCCTCATCCTCCTCATCTTCCCACATCTCCATGTTCTCCAGTATCTCCTCATCCTCCTGTAGCTCCTCATCCTCCCTCATCTTCCTCCTCATCCTCCTCATCCTCCCTCATCCTCCTCATCCTCCTCATCTTCCCACATCTCCATGTTCACCCAGAGCTCCTCTTCCTCCTCTTCCTCCTCATCCTCCCTCATCTCCTCATCCTCCTCATCCCTGAAGAGGAAGACCGGAGCCATCCTTTCTCCGGAATTCCCGGTCACCCTCAGCCCCCGTCCCCTCCTGCCTGGGGTGGGAATTCCCGCTGACATTCCCGGGATTCTCTGCTCCTTGCAGGAAGGAGGTGGGGCTGGACCTGTTCTTCCCCAGCCAGATGCAGGAGAACCTGAAGGTGAGGGACACCTGGGGGTGGCACAGGTGTGGCACCTGGGGGCACGTGTGACCACCCCTGTGTGTGCCCACGTGTCCATGTTTCCATGTGTCTGTGTGTCCGTGGTCTGTATGTCCCTGTGTCCCTGTGTGTCCCTATGTCCGTGTGTGCCCGTGTGTGTCCGTGTGTCCGTGTGTGTCCGTGGTCTTTGTGTCCCTGTGTGTCCATGGTCTGTGTGTCCGTGTGTCCCTGTGTGTCCGTGTCCCTGTGTGTGTCCGTGTGTCCCTGTGTGTCCCTGTGTGTGTCGTGTGTCCATGTATGCCTGTGTGTGTCCATGTGTCCCTGTGTGTCCCTGTGTCGTGTGTCCGTGTGTGCCTGTGTGTGTCCGTGTGTCCCTGTGTGTCCCTGTGTCGTGTGTCCGTGTGTGCCTGTGTGTGTCCGTGTCCCTGTGTGTCCGTGTCCCCGTGTGTGTCGTGTGTCCCTGTGTGTCCCTGTGTGTCCATGTGTCCCTGTGTGTCTGTGTGTCCGTGCGTGTCCGTGTGTCTGTGTGCCCGTGTCCCTGTGTTTCCCTGTCTGTCCCTGTGTCCCTATGCCCACCCCACGTGTCCACTCCCATCCCGGTGTTCCCATATCCAACACCCTGTTCCTGTATCCAATACTGTCCCCATCCCAGTGTTCCCATATCCAACACCGCCTCCATCCCGCTGTTCCCATATCCAACACTGTGTCCATCCCAGCGTTCCCATATACAACACCGTGTCCTTCCCGCTGTTCCCATATCCAACACTGTGTCCATCCCAGCGTTCCCATATCCAACACCGCGTCCATCCCGGTGTTCCCATATCCTACACCGTGTCCTTCCCGCTGTTCCCATATCCAACACTGTGTCCATCCCAGCGTTCCCATATCTAACACCGCCTCCATCCCACTCTTCCCGTATCCAACACCACGTCCATCCCACGGTTCCCATATCCAATGCCCCGTTCCCATACCTGATGCCTCATCCATCCCACTGTTCCCATATCCAATGCCCTGTTCCCATACCCAATGCCGACCTGATCCCGGTGTTCCCATACGCCACCCCGCCCTGATCCCGGTGTTACCATACCTGATGCCGCCCCAATCCTACTGTTCCTGTACCCCATGCCATCCTGATCCCGGCATTCCCGTGCCTGATGCCGCCCTGATCCTGGTGTTCCTGTACCCCACACCACCCCAATCCCAGCATTCCCGTACCCAATTCCACCCCAATCCCGGCATTCCCGAACCCGATGCCGCCCCGATCCCGGCATTCCCGTACCCCACACCACCCCGATCCCGGCATTCCCATACCCCACACCACCCCGATCCTGGCGTTCCCGTACCCCACACCACCCCGATCCCAGCATTCCCATACCCCACGCCACCCCAATCCCGATGTTTCCATATCCAATGCCCTGTTCCTATATCCAATACCACCCCCATCCCGGTGTTCCTGTACCCCATGCGGCCCTGATCCCAGCGATCCCGTACCCCACACCACCCCGATCCCGGTGTTCCCGTACCCCACACCACCCCGATCCCGGTGTTCCCGTACCCCACACCACCCCGATCCCGGCATTCCCGTACCCCACACCACCCCGATCCCGGCGTTCCCATACTCCACACCACCCCGATCCCGGCGTTCCCGTGTCCCGACGCCGGCGCTGTCCCGGCAGCCGCGGCAGCTGCGGAAGATGATCCAGCAGACGTTCCAGCAGTACGCGCTGCTGCGGGAGGAGGAGTGCATCCTGAAATTCCTGCACACCCTGGCCTCCTTCGCCCCCATCGACCAGGAGAGCTTCCGCTGCCAGCTCGCTGTGCGTCACCGCGACCAGGGAGACGGGACGCGGGATTCGGGGATACGGGATTCGGGGTCGGGGTGCAGGGTATGGGATGTGGGTTATGGGAGAGGAGATACGGGAATGGGGGACACGGGATTTGGGATGGGGGATAGGGGATATGGGATGTGGGATGTGGTGACGGGATATGGGATATGGGATTACAGATGGGGGATAGGGGATATGGGATGTGGGTTATGGGAGAGGAGATATGGGAATGGGGGATACGGGATTTGGGATGGGGGATAGGGGATACGGGATATGGGATATGGGATTTGGGATACAGGATATGGGATATGGGATTTGGGATGGGGGGTTGGAGATATGAGATATGGGATGTGGGATACGGGATATGGGATTCAAGATGGGGATACAGGACATGCAATAGAGGTTTGGGACAGGGGATATGGGATATGGGATATGGGATAGGGGATAGGGGATATAGGATTCAGGATATGGGATACGGGATTCAAGATAGGGGATACAGGATATGGGATATGGGATAGGGGATAGGGGATACGGGATATGGGATATGGGATAGGGGATAGGGGATACGGGATATGGGATTCAAGATGGGGGATACAGGGTATGGGATATGGGATAGGGGATACGGGAGTTGGGATAGGGGATATGGGATGGGGGATGTGGGATATGGAATGTAAGATTCAGGATGGGGCATACAGAGGAGGGGATAGGGGATATAGGATTCAGGATATGGGATACGGGATTCAAGATAGGGGATACAGGATATGGGGTATGGGATTTGGGATAGGGGACAGGGGATAGGGAATATGGGATACAGGATATGGGATGTGGGGTATGGGATTTGGGATACAGGATATGGGATATGGGGTACAGGATACGGGATTTGGGATGGGGGATAGGGGATACAGAATATGGGATGTGGGATACGGGATATAGGATATGGGATTCAAGATGGGGGATACAGGGTATGGGATATGGGATAGGGGATATGGGACAGGGGATATGGGATATGGGATAGGGGATGTGGGAGGGGGGATATGGGATAGGGGATAGGGTATATGGGATAGGAGATACAGGATAGGGAATATGGAATATGGGATTCAGGATGCAGGATACAGGATATGGGATATGGGATAGGGGATATGGGAGAGGGGATAAGGGATGTGGGATACGGGACATGGGATATGCAACATGGGATATGGAATACAGGGTATGGGATACAGGATAGGGGATATGGGATGAGGTGGGGTGGAGTTAGGTGGGAATGGGATGGGATGGGATGGGATGGGATGGGATGGGATGGGATGGGATGGGATGGGATGGGATGGGATGGGATCAAGATGGGGGATACAGGGTATGGGATATGGGGTATGGGATATGGGACAGGGGATATGGGATATGGGATGGGGGAGGGGGATATGGGATAGGGGATATGGGATAGGAGATGTGGGACAGGGGATATGGGATAGGGGAGGGGGGATATGGGATAGGAGGTACAGGACAGGGAATATGGAATACGGGATTCAGGATGCAGGATACAGGATATGGGATATGGGGTAGGGGATAGGGGAGAGGGGATAAGGGATGTGGGATACGGGACATGGGATATGCAACATGGGATATGGAATACAGGGTATGGGATACAGGATAGGGGATATGGGATGAGGTGGGGTGGAGTTAGGTGGGAATGGGATGGGAGGGGATGGCATGGGATGGGATGGGATACAAGATGGGATGGGATGGGATGCACTTGGAACGGACATGGGGGACGGCGACATAATGGAGCGGAGCAAGGTGGAGATGGGATGAGGATGACGTTGGGATTTTATGGCGATGGGATGGGATGGGACCTGACCCTTGGCATGGCCCTCATCCCAAATCCCCGGCTGCTCCTGCTGCCCCCAGCAAGGATGGAACATCACCGTGGACCTGGTCATCGGCCCCAAGGGCATCCGCCAGGTGACCAGCAAGGACACCAAGGTGGGAATTGCGGGCCGGGAACTGGGAACTCCCGCTTCGGGGTTGGTGGTGAAGCCTACCACGGATGGAATTCCCGATGGATTCCCCCTTCCCAGCCCACCTGCCTGGCGGAATTCCGGGATATCAAATCCATCCGGTGCTCCGCAGCGGAGGACGGCCAGGCTCTGCTGCAGCTGGGGCTCAGCGGGACGCCCCAGGTGAGGAGCTGGGAGAGAATTCCTGGGAATGCCATGTCCCATATCCCATATTGTGTACCCTATATCCCATATGCCCTATCCCATATCCCATATTCCCTATCCCATATCTCATATCCCATATCCCATATCCCATATCCCCTATCCCATATCCCATATCCCATATCCCCTATCCCATATCCCATATCCCATATCCCCTATCCCATATCCCATATCCCATATCCCCTATCCCATATCCCATATCCCATATCCCCTATCCCATATCCCATATCCCATATCCCCTATCCCATATCCCATATCCCATATCCCCTATCCCATATCCCATATCCCATATCCCCTATCCCATATCCCATATCCCATATCCCCTATCCCATATCCCATATCCCATATCCCCTATCCCATATCCCATATCCCATATCCCCTATCCCATATCCCACATCCCATATCCCATATCCCACATCCGCGTTCCCACCTTTTCCCGCTTTGGCGTTGTCCCGGCTGTGTGGGAATTCTGGGAAGGGGGGTTTTGGGATGGCGGGCGGAGCGGGCAGAAGGGGGTGCCCCGATCCCACCCCGCATCCCGGCATTCCCAAGTCGCTGGCCATCAAGACGCCGTCGCTGGCCGAGGCGGAGAACATGGCCGACCTCATCGACGGATACTGCCGGCTGCAGGGCGGCTCCGAGGCCTCGCTGATCGCCTTCCCCGGGAAAGGTGGGAACGCCGCCGGCCGGCTGGGATAATGGGATTGTGGGATAGGGGGATCCGTGGGATGGGATGGGATGGGATGGGATGGGATGGGATGGGATGGGATAATGGGATGGGATGGGATGGGATAATG